ACTTCGTACTTAGCGCACTAGCCGCGTCGAAATGGGGTTTGCTCACCCCCGCCGCCCCCTCGCACAGCTGCTCTTTTATTTTACTTTTTTTTGTGTTTTTTGCACAGTAGATAGAGCTAACTGAATTAACTTATTCTGTTTCGCCATTATAAATTCCACAGCATTCTTTATTTGCATATTAAAAAGTAAATAAATGCTAAACAGGAGAAGAGCAGGCGAGGAAGAGGAAGAACTAGAGTATGTTTTAGTGCTGCCTGGGTAAGTTTCAGTTGAGTTGGTCATGTGCCTACGAGTGTATATAGAGTGTAGGGTAATATAATGCAATCAAGTCTAATTGAGCGACAGTCGAGGGTCTTGGAATTTGGAGCACCACAATGGAGCTAATTTGCTGTCAATAATTTGTGGGTTACCAGGTGACAGATGGCAATGCATTTACTAATGCAGGCTACTTATAAAGAGTGCCATTTGGAAAAGGGGGAGAGGAGAAGGAAAGTAAGCACGATCACTTATCGCCTTTGGGGGCAATTTATCGTAATGGCCGAAAATAAACAATATTTCCCAGCTCGTAATTTGCCAAAATCTTCGCCGAAGATTTGCTTCCTTGCGGAAAACGAGCCAAAGCAGAAGAAAGAAGCCTGGGACCTCGACTTATATCGAGATTTATTTGCACAATTCCGGTTTTGGGCTTTGCGCTACCCTCTCTGTCTCTCTCTCTACTCGCTCTCTGTCTATCTTTTATTTTTGTATATTTCAATTTTACTACCACTATTTGCTAGGTGGCTGCTTCTTCTTGTTCGCAGGGACAGATCCTCAATAGGTGTGAGTTGGTGTTGTCCCTATCCAATCGCCAGGAGGAAGTTCAAGTCAGAGGGAGATGGAACTAACACAATATACAGAGAGACAGCTGTTCCCCAAACTGAAGAACTTTTGACACTGAACCCAAGAGCCGTGTTTCGAGCTTCGCTGTTGAGTGGCGCCCACAGTGGGGCCTCAATTAAGACGAATCTTTCGGATTATGTTGTCCATTGACACTGACACAGTGACATGCCGAAAATAATCAATAATCTTTAAGGCAAATTGCAATTATATGTGGGCTAGTTGGCTGCTTATTATTATTAACGATGTTTCCGCCTCTTCCACAATTCGTTTCGCACAATTATCACCGTTTCGTTTCGTTTTCGTTTGGCTTAATCACTGGGGATTTGTTTAGCATTTCCAATTACCGATTGTTGTAGCAACTAAGGCAGTTTAGAGGTATTATAAACGTTGCCCCCAACAACAAAAGCACAGGCACAGGAAAACGCGACGCGCGCAGCTGAGCGAAGTTTGTTTGGTATCGGCTTTCCACGGTGGCTTTTCACCCGCGACCAAATCGAAGCGACTGAACTTGAGCGCGTTCGCAAGGCAACTGAAAAGCCTCAAAAAAAGACGTTGGAGCATGAAGAAGGCAGCGCCAAAAGTGCAAGAAGAAGCGGTTGGGAGAGAGAGACTGCTAAGAGAGAGAGACAGTGACTAATACGTAAGACTAGACGCTCAGGTACAAAAACTCACGGGCACAGTGGGCTACACAGAGACGAAACATCATCTTCGTAGTGAAAAAAACATGAACATTTTTGTAGGACCACGTGGCGTATGATTTATTTTTTGAGTAATTTACAAAATTTTTTTTTTTAACTTGTTTTTTAGTTTTTTTTTAAATATAAAATTTTATTTTTGTATGTTTAAAATTGTTGTTTGCAAACAATATTTATATAATTAACAAATGTTTAAATTGTAAATTTGTAATCAACCAATTTTTTGTGTGAAAATAAATTAATTAATTGAAGATATAGTCCAAAAAAATTTAAAAACAAATCGTTACATTAAGTTTCTTTTCTTAGGTACCTATTTTTCGAACCGGACAGGTCAACCCTGTCGTCAGGATTTTATTTAACCACAATTTAAGTTGGAAATGTATTTCTTTTGTGTATTTATAAATATACATATATAAATTCTTCAAACAAATATATGCTATTCAGTGGCGGATCCAGGATTTTTTTGTGGGGGGTGATATCAGAACAATTTTTTTGTTGCATACTTTTTGAATGCCAAAATTTCTTTCATTTTTCACCCGAGTGGGGGGTGATATATCACCCATATCACCCCCCGTGGATCCGCGCATGATGCTATTTAACCCACTGTGGATTATCTTACTATATCTCGTATGGTGCTTTACGTGTGCGACTCGTAAGACATCAAGACGTAAGGCACTTGGGGCAGGTTGCGAGCGTGGTGAGTTTGTCCTGTTTTTCCTGTGTTCTTCGCAGTGTGTGAGTGTGGTCAGGTAAGTGTCTGCAACATTGTTGGTACTGGGTGTTTGTCTCTCTAATTGAACATGCACTACAAAAAATTATGTGGTACTGCTCAAAACGTATGTACTTTATGATCAAGTTTAAAGTAAATAAAATGTGGAAAATATGTTAAAAACATTTGGTTTTTAAATGGTTATAAATTGTAACTTTTTGCATTCTTGGTTGTCATAAAATTAAAAATGAGAACGATTTCTAGACCTTTTTTTAAAGTGTACCCTGCAAATTGCAAGTGGTCCCCATGTGAGGGTCCTAAAAATAGCTCGGCGGGCAGCGCGTGTGCCACAATTTGGCGTTATCGTTGATGGAGCGTTAGCCTATCATTAGCCGGGCTTCATGCAGGAACTGCAGCTCTCCCGCTGCTCGGCGGGGCGCTGACTTTTCGCGGTGGGTGTGTGGTTGCAAGGTTACGATTACGGGCAATGAATTTTGGGTGCAGGCAGCAGATTTACAAGTGCCATTGGGAGGGAGTGCAGTGGGTGAGGTGGTCGACTAATGGTGCTACTTAATTGCAAATGGATAGTGGTAAATGCCAAAAGGTACGGCATGTAATCAAGGCAGTAAATAGCGCAGATAATTATTGTTCTTATTTATTAGTTACTATACTAAAGTATTTAATTACGTTAAAAAAGAAATACTCAAAATAATTCAAAATAGGTCAAAAATTTTTGACATTTTCTAACGGGGATTAAGAAGTAATGGGATAAACACAGGTACATCCATAGGTATTTCGTTTCCCAAAAATAAAACTTTACCTATATTTTACCCCGCAACTCTGGATTTTCCCAAGTCTCTTCAAAATCGTCACTCACTTAGACAATACCCCCCATTATCAAACACCGATTCAAGCTTAAAAAGTGAGTAAGCACCATAAAAAACAGTATAAGAACTGATAATATAGTTGTGTCTGCTGAAAAAGAAACACAACAATTGCCTTGAAAAAAAACCAAGACAGCATCCGGAGATGAGGGAAAAGGGGGTCTACGTGAGTCATTCACAGATCGTCGCAATGTTTTTGATGTGTTTATTTGTTTATTTCTTTCGCAGCTGCGATAAATGAAACTAAATGTCTCTTATAATGTAATTTGGGTAATTTCTGCTTTGGTTTGCTTTTCACGCATCATTGCCATTTGGCTATTTTTGGTTCGCGACTCATTCGGGTTCAGAGGTGAGAACACACAGCTTTTCTAGGGAATCTCCGTAGGTATTGTTTTTATGGCGAGTTGAATGGACTTTCGATTTTTAACGTTCGGCGACGCTTTTAATGGCCACATTTGGCAGCACAAAGTCAACAATTGCTTTAATGTACTCTGTACATAAGGAGCGAAATGAATAAACAAATATTTGCAATCGAAATTTGCCCCTCGCTCGAATATATATGTTTACAGTTATCGCTCTGGCAGCGACTTCTTTCCCTCTCGATTTGGCTTTATGTTCATGTTAATTGCATTATGACCCATTTAGCCGAGAGTTGTTCTCGTTTCCCGGCCCTTGTTGGTGTTAATTTGTGTTGTTACTTTGTTGGCCTGGCCATCAAACTGGAGCGCGACTCTGGATCCGCCATCCAAAATCCCGGAAAGGAAGCCCCAAAGCCGCCGTCTGAATGTAATTAAGATAAAATTTGTGTGCTCATGTTTTTATTCTCTTTGCTGTTCCGCATTTTGTTCTGACATCGCTGCGCTTTGTCGTATTTGCATTTACACTCGTTTTTGTAGGTATTACAAGGGGATATGAGGTCGCCGGGTACCACAAATATTTTTAAGGGCCAAAAAACAAATATCTGACATTGTTTATACCTATCTTTCAATTTGAGTTTATTAGTATTACAGTGATTTAAAATGGTAGGAAGGCTGATAAAAATAAATATATTTTAAGCCATTTAAAAGCAATAAAAAATTTACCACTTGCAATAAAAAATTTACCAACTATAGGTATCGGTTAGTCGACTACTTGACCACGTAGTTCTTATTGTTTGCGATTTTTCTTATTTTCAGAATGCCACAGAGCCTGCGAACCGCGGCTGAGTCACAGACCTCGGCCCCTCGGCTGCCGCAACCACTTGAGGGCTGTCACTCAAGACCGAATCTGGCCGGCGATGCCGGAGGTGATAACTGCACCACCGCGCTCAATTTGGGTGTGGGTGCGCTCCTCGGCTCGCCCTGCCTTGCCCTTTGTCATTCCAGGTATTTAAATCGAACGCCCAGCTGCAGGTAAGCGATACGCGGCGGTGAGTGTCAAAAGTTCTGCGATAAGTGAAAGGAACAAGGGGAGTGGGATCCGCGGCCTTATCAATATATCTGCCGATAAGTGAGTTCGCTTGGTAATTAAATCTTGGGGATACAGAAAATAAAGGTGTTGCATTCAGGGAAATTTGGGTAAAGTTATGAAAAAATATTTATTTTTGATTATAATCAAAATAAGAACATATACATAATATTATTAGCTGAGCTAATAAAATACGTAATGCCTAAGGAACTAATATGCTCTATTAAATATATATCCCTCCGACTAATGGGTATTTGTATAAATAAACCAAAGTGTGGGCGGCATTCGATATATCGCAACAAGACGGGCAGGCTGCCAAAACGCCTGCAGTCTGTTTTGAAATTAGGGGATTCCAAGGGGCTGGTGGTTGGGTGGTTGGACACTTACCCTGCGTGGTTGTTGTTGTTGCTGCTGTTGTTTGGGTGGCTCGTAAAAGCTGCTCCCGTTCTCCAACCACTCGACATCGCTGCAAGATCAAAAGACAGAGATTATCAACCACATGTTGAGCAAATTCACCACACAACAAACGGAAAAGCTCTCTCTGAAAGCTTTCTATATGATGAGTTTCCCCTATTCCAACCAATCTTTTTAGAAACGAGTGCCAAAAAAAACTCACCTGAGGAAATTAATGTCTATTTAATAAGAAACTACTAAATTACCAAAAAATTCCTAAGGTCAATTGGCATTTAGATAGTTTTCTGAACATTTTTTAAGTGAATGCGAAAATGTTTAATTTTAGAATTACTTCTTCCTATGTTCTAAAGTTGAAATACCTATGCAGTTTAATATGTTTATTATTAAAAGCCAATCTTGAAATAATTTTCTTTAAATATGAATAAGAACACAAATATAGTTTAGGTAAATCAAGAAAGTTTACCTATTATTGTTAATGATTGGGAACTTGACATGGAAAAATATCGAATATGCATAAATAGAAATTAAATTTCGGTTTATATATAAGTGGTTTAAAATCTTTTGGTAAGTAATAATTTGCATAGCAATGCTTATAGAGAAAACACTTTCAAACTCACCGTTGCATTCGTTGGATGACCGGCAGCTGGGCGGTGCTGTCGTGGATTCGCACCTGGTCGGGAGTCACCTCCTCTAGCAGGAACATGTTCTTGCTGGACAGAGGAGTCATCTCAGCCTCGGCAGGATTGGGGTTCCCGTAGAAAAGTGGACTCAGGGGGCGACAGGCACCGCCGAGTAGCTCGTCGATGTTCTGATGCCGCGAGATGAAGAGCTTTTCGCCGGCTCGCCGTTGTTGCGGTGAGAAGCGCGGCTGCAGGGTGGTCAAAGTGGGTGGTGGCTGTTGTTGAGGGGGTGGCTCCTGCACTTGCGACCTTGGAATGTTGTCGTAGGGCGAGGGGCAGCGCACGGGACTGGCACATTGACCCAGTGGCGGCGGTCGCTCCGAGTAGGCATTAAAGTTGAAGGAGCTGTTTAGATCTTGGGTGGCCAATGTAGGTGATGGTGGTGCCAGTCGCAGATCCACCTCATCCCTCGAGACCACCACTGGTGGCTCCTCAATATCGCCTGGAAGTTGGGCACTCTCCGTTTCCTCATCCTGCAGCCACCAGGCCCGCTCCCCGGACTCCCAGTGCTTGATGATTCGCGGTGGTGGAGTGGGTGGCTTCACCGGCGGTGGTTCGTTCTCCTTTTCCTCTTGCGGTGGCTCCTCCGGTTCGGCTTCCACCTCTGGTTCCTCCTGCCACCAGGCTCTCTCTCCCGACTCCACGCGCTGCACATTGAACATTTTGCGGGCGGGTCCGGATAGCCACCAGGGATTGGAGCCATTACTCTTGGAACTAGAGCCACCACTCTTTGAGGCACTTCCCTTGGAGCTCCGTTGGCTGCCATTTGAGGGTAATCTTAGTGTTACCTCCACATGGGGCTCCTTGGGGTTTCCATTTTCCCTGGGGGATTGCACAACCTGCTGCTCCTCCTCCTCCTCCTGCAGCCACCAGGCATCCTTCTCCGGCGTTATCCTGCTCCTGGGCATCAGCTTCACCTGACTGCTGCTGGACTCCTCCTCCTGATCCTCCTGGCTCCACCAGGTGCCCTTGCTCGCCTCCTGAGCATCGTCATCCAGCGTATTGAGTGTCTCCTCCGCCAGCGTGTCATCGTCATCGCCATTCTCATCCTGGCGCAGCCACCAGGCCTGCTCCTCCCCGGAATCAATGTGCCTTAACCTGTAGGGAGGCATCTCTCCGCGATTATTCTGATCCAAAGCAGAGGCCGTGTTTATCTGCAGACTGGTGTCCTGCCACCAACTGGGATCCTCCTGCTCGGAGGTGGTCAAGCTGGCGGTGGTGGTGGTGGTGGTGAGACTCGTGTCCTGGGTGGTGCTGGTGGGTAACCTAGTTCCTGTTCCCGTTTCCGTTCCCGTCGTGCTTTCTCGCGGGCAGCGTGTGCTTGAACTCAGGGAATTCGTTTGAGGTAAGGGTTTCGCTTCGCTCGATGGCGTCGTCGTTCGCGTTCGCGGTTCGTTCGTTCGCAAATCTGTGGTCAGACTGTTGCCCGAGATTTTCGAAATCTTCGAGAGGCCCGATATTCCCGAGATCACTGGTAGCGAAAGAGCCTCCGGTTCGCCCGAGCTCTCGGAGCTTTCGAGGAAGATCGGCTCGTTATTTGCGTCTTGCTGACGGCTGGCGAAAAAATTCGATACGGCCGAGAGTTTCTTCAGTCTTGTCTGTGTCGCTGGCACCACTTCAACCACATCGGCGGGTGGTGATTCAGCGGTGATATTGCTATTTATCTTGTGGGCGGCTACCTTGCCACCCTCTTTAATGGTCTGCTTCTTTTTAGCCTGCTTTTTCACAGTCTTGACCCGCTGCTCGCTGTCCGAAGCGGAGGCGGTGGATGAGTTGCCAGTGGTGGTTTCGCTACAGGATTTGTGGCTTTTCGTCTTCGGACTGCCTGGCACCTTGCCATTGCTCAGCTTGCTCGATTTCTTCGAGGAACCTGAGGCCAGACTTCCCTCGGAACCCGCACTCGCCGATCGCTCGAGGCTACTGCCATTGGGCAGATCCTCGGATTCGCCGCCACTACTGGGAGTTCGCGATTTGCGGGGTCTGTCTGTAGGTCCCACATTCAGTGAGGACTTGCGGAAGTCCTTGTTGGGCCATTTAACCGCTGAACTGCCCGAACTAGAGCTGCAGGTCTTGGTGGGTGACTCTGCCTTGCTGGGTGGTGCAGGTGGTTTGTTTACCAGGTTCTCCACCGACGATTGGCGGGAGTTCAGGCGTATGGCCTTCGGCGGTGAAAGTTTGGACTTGGTGGACTTTGAGGAGCTCAAGGAGCCATTTGTCCGAGGTGGCGATACAGCTTCGGGGGACTTTGAGAGGGAACCATTACTTCTAGCTGGAGAAAGAGCCTCGGGGGATTTTCCTGAAACGGAACCATTGGTTCTAGGTGGTGATAAGGCTTCTGAGGACTTGGCTGAGCTCACGGAGCCATTGCTCTTGGCCGGGGATACAACCTCTGGGATTGACTGCTCCCGTCTTCCTTCACTAACTGAGCCTGACTTTCCTGATCCCGAACTGTTCAAAGGACTGGCACTGTAGCGCAAACTGCTTATCCTATCCCTATGCGGACTGTAGGTAGAACTTATACTACTACCAGCACTATAGCGAAGATATCGGCTGGAATCATCCATTCGATCGGACTGTATCTCCTGATCCGCCGTCTCACGTCTCTTTGTGGATCTTTGGATGGTCTTCTCGATGGTTTTGGCCGGATCGATGCGACGGGTGCGCTGAACGGTGGTGCTGCCCGGCAGAGTGGGTGAAGTGGCTCTGGTCACCACGGAAATGGTGATGAAGGTCTCATTGGTTTCGGTGTCTGCTTCGTTGGCTGGTGGTTTTTCCGCCTGCTTCTCCGGTGACTTTTCCTTTCCATTGGATACGGCTACCTCCTTTGGCTGCTTTTCCTCGATCTGCAGCTCCTTCTCCTTTTCCCGCTCCCTTTCCCTGCTGTCCTTGGCCCTGCTGGCAGTTCTGGCATGGAAGTCACTGGTGGTCAAGTAGGACAAGGCACTGCCATTTCCTCCGATGCGAGAACCCGTTCCATAGCGACTGCTGTAAGCATTTCTGGTGGCCGAGGAGGATGAACTGGAGGTGTTACCACCGCGATATGTGGATCCCAATTTACTCCTCGAGCTGTCGATCACTGGACTGGGATCCCTCGATTTATTGCGGTTCGTGTGTTCCAAGGCCACCGGACTGGGATCTCGAGATCGTCCATATTTTCCGAGGGAACTGGTAGTCGCACCCGTATACCTCTTCACGGGACTACTTCGCTCACTTGGAGCTGCTTCTTTGGGTTCGGCTTTTGCATAGCGACTAACATAGCTGGTGGGGGCAGTTGAGGTGGTTGGAGGTGGTGGATCCCTTTTGAGGCGGTACGTTCCTCCAGAAAACGAGGGTCTGTAGGAACTGGGCGTGGCCAGTGAAGTGTAGCGCGATGTGGAGTCTCCGGAGGTGCCATACTGTAGATAAAACAATAAAGTTAGAAAAGTGATTGGATAAATATATTTAAAATACCTACCGAAGAACTGGCAGGCTTATAGGAGCTTCCCAAGCTCGTTTTCCAGGGTGTCTAAAAAGAAAAAGGGATAATATTATTAGGAAAATATTTACATTTTTAAATTTGAGGTTAAAACCATTAATTACACAGGAACACAAAATTAAACTTTGTGAAATTTCCACGAACCATTTCAAGTTTTCCATGATATTTGGGTGCTCCTGAGTAAAAGTCCCATACAAAATTATTTTCCATCACCTACAGGTTCCGCGGTATAGCTAAGAATACAAAAAACCGATGTTTGCCGACATTTTGAATTACGTGGCCTATATAATTGGACCAACATTTATTATTTTCGGTAGGACCTACTCTCAATACATCAAGGCATTCCTAAAAAATAGTCCCCATTATGAACCATTGCCCATGTCTTTGGAATTCGACGCCAAAGTTGAAAATCCCAAAATTGTAGAGATTTTTCTGATGGAAAAACAATTCTGAGGATTAAATCTTGAATGGAAGTAATTTTAACTATTCATTGAATCTATTGTTTATTGTATTCTTTAATTTCGGTTTAAAGCGATTTTATGAGAATATTTTTTATTGGATTTATTATACTAATAAAACCTTTTTTTTATTTCATTATCTACTCCTAAATGTTGTCAAATTTTAAAAAAGTCAAGGCATCCTACAGAATGGGAGTAAACATTTACATTTCTTTATGTATGTTCAGTGAACGTATTTTAGTTTCTTAGTTCTAGAGGTTGCCATGACTTATTCAAAATTTGACAACATTTAGGAGTAGATAATGAAATAAAAAAATCGGTTTAATTAGTATAAGAAATCCAATAAAATGTCCTCATGAAAACGCTTTAAACCGAAATTAAAGCATACAATGAACAATAGATACAATGAATAGTTAAAATTACTTCCATTCAAGATTTAATCCTCAGAATTGTTTTTCCATCAGAAAAATCTCTACAATTTTGGGATTTTCAACTTTGGCGTCGAATTCCAAAGACATGGGCAATGGTTCATAATGGGGACTATTTTTTAGGAATGCCTTGATGTATTGAGAGTAGGTCCTACCGAAAATAATAAAGGTTGGTCCAATTATATAGGCCACGTAATTCAAAATGTCGGCAAACATCGGTTTTTTGTATTCTTAGCTATACCGCGGAACCTGTAGGTGATGGAAAATAATTTTGTATGGGACTTTTACTCAGGAGCACCCAAATATCATGGAAAACTTGAAATGGTTCGTGGAAATTTTTGGCTGTGTACCTGTGTTATTATTTATTTACTGATGAGCCAGTTTTATTGCATCTTGTTTAATGAGCAATGCTAAGCTATGACGGTATTAGTTTGATGATTTAGCAAATCTAAATTTATCTAAAATCAAAATCCCATTCTCTCAGTGAGTCCCAACAATAAATACTGAGTGAGTGATTTCTTTACAGCTCATTGTGGCCCGTGGGGTTTCTGGCAAGATCTGCATGCATTCATTCAAAAGAAATTGAAACTGATAGGCAATCACATGGCTTTGATTGATTGGCGCTCTAAGAGTCCGAAAGCAATTGACTCCAGCGAAATAAGACGAAAACAAAGTGCTGCCCCACATTCCCCCATCTTCCCCCCAAGTTGCCTCCTGCCACACCACCTTCTGCATTTTCCAGGGGAATTTTCTCAATGAGCTGTGCACTCGACAATTATTCGCGCGCATTTCATCATCGTCAGCAGCCCCAGTACATCAGTACATCGGCACATCAGCAGCATCAACAGCAACATGGGATGCCAAAGAATCCCAGGTCCCCCCATTTCCCATTTCCCCGATAGACTATTTGCGGTCGGGACTGCTGCCTCTTTGAACTCGCCCATTCCATTTTACCTCTGAATCGGATTCTGATTCGGTTTGGGATTTCTGCCGCGTCTATTACATTTTCAATTAAATGGCGCTGCTGCACGCGTTTTTCAATTAATTTGGACGTGTAAACAGATTCATTTCGATTATTTCAACATCTGCCTTCTAATCTCGGCCGCAGCGCATTAGACGATTGCCCTCGTCCATCGAGACACGTTAAGTTTTCTCGGCTATAATGAAAATTGCGGGGGCCCCGACCACTTTGCCCTTTCTGAATTCACGACTGCAGGGTGGTTCGCGGGGGGCGGTGGGCTGACGGCTTTACCCACTATATCTCTGGGGATCAGACACCCATTTAACGTTGCAAAATTCGTGTCGACGGTTTTAGAGATTTTTGGCAACACAAACGGTTGCGGCTAATTATTGCAATTTTTTGTTAATGACCAAATGAAATGCTGTTGAACCCAACACTTTGGTGCCCCTAAAATATATTTAAGATAAATCATTTGAAAACATTAATAAAGGCAACTTATAAAAGGTTCTAGATTTTTTAAAAATCATAACACAATTGTGCAACCTTTAATAAACTGAAATGACTGTTGTGGAATTTGCCCTTCGAAATACTTTTAAGGAATTTCTGGGTATAATCCTTACAAAAAATTGTAACAAAATTGTACAACCTTTAACAAACTGAAATGACTGCTGTGGAATTCGCCCTTCGAAATACTCTTAAGGAATTTCCCTATATAAAACACTTAAAACCTAGCCTCTCCCAAGTGGCGCCAATCCCAGCGAATGACAACTATCCGGGAATAAAAAATAATATTATTATTACATTTCCCAGCGACCGCCCAATGTGAAGAATCGGCGAGCGAGCGAGAGGGAGAGAGGAAGAAAGACAGACAGTCTCGGCTAATTGTTTTCGCTCAGTGAAATGGAATGCCAAACACACAAATAGCCAACAATGTGCAAAACAAGCAAACGGAGACACTCAGCCGGAGGAGACTGGATGATCGTGTGGATGGGCCTGTGTCTATGGATCTTCTCTGGAATGGCTTCGCCATGTGTACTTTGTTCGCCGCCGATTCCAGAAAAGTGCTGCACTTCTGACAGCGTTATTATGCCGTCTCAATTAGGAGAGTACAGGAGGATCGGGGGAATCAGGAGCAGGATGCGCTGTAATGCGGCTGTCTGTCAGTAGCCACGGCCCATAAAGCACGGCCAGGAAAGCCGAAAGCCATCCACTCACAGAGTATTTAGACTGTGACCCCAGATGATTTGAAGTGGCGACTGAATATTCGCGTGCCAGACAAGTGATTTATTTTTAAATGTTTGTGTCTAGTTTGCTCTATCAGAAGTGTCGAAAATGCGATCTAAGAAACTAAATTTTCAAAGATTCAAAGAGAGAAATATTAAAAAGAATATAAACTAATATATTAGATATTTTGTAATTATTTTAACATATTTAAAAATATATTTGAATATTTTAAAACTTAAAAACCTGTAACCAACTGAAGCGCACTTCCTTCCCAAAAAAAAGGCTATTTTTATTTCCTAAGCCGATTCTATATTTAGAGCCAAATATGTTCTGATATGGAAGGGCTACCAATTCACGCAGATCAACAATTTTACCAAGTTTTCGAAGACCTGACCAACTGCCAAGCTGTTAATCCTATCCTACTTGGGCTAGTCCATCTTTTTATCCTCGGCGTCGTTAGCTTTCGTGATTTCCTTCTAGATTCTGTTGCGGATCTTGCACTTGATTGGTTGTATCCGGGACGGTAACCTTAATGCCGTCCTGACCATCCAAAAGACCCAGGTTATGGGTCTCCGGCACGAAGGGATCCCAACTGGGAGCCTTGGGCGGATACCGGTCTATCGCATCCCGCATGGCGCGCATCCCCAGCTCGAGGGCGCAGTTCATGGAGCTCCTGTCCGGTGGCTCGCGGGTGAGGGGTCCGTTGAAGTGCACATAGATGTCGCCCTGGGCAGCCAAATCCAGGCCGTAGGTAGTCAGATCCTCGCCGAAGACCAGCTGCGTGGCCGCGGGATCCGTGTGCGTAGTTCTCATGGCAGCCAGCAGTCCGGTGATCCCGAAGCGATCGCCCAGCATGGTCGAAGGAATATTGGTGAATTTTCCATCGGCCGTACTACGGATTCCCACCGCATGCGACGCCGTTGTGGAGGAAGTGGCCACTTCCGGTCCCTGCAAAACCAATCCGTAAGAGGGTTGACCGAAAACATCCGCAAACGTGGGCACCGCCGGCTGGCGATCGTAGAGTTCCGGGAAGAGTTTGTAATCCAACTCGACTCCAGAATCTATGCTCGAAGTGGAGGCAATTTCCGGTGGCTCTTCGCTGGGTGGATCCGGCGGGGGCGGTGGGCGTGGCGGCTCCACTTTCTGGCGACTGGAGGCATTCTCCTGGTTCTTCTTCCTCAGCGCTATCGAGGGATTCACCTTGCAACGTGGACGACGTCGCCGGGGCATTTCTGTATTTTTATCAAAAATTATCCTTTTCGTGTGATAGTGTGTGTGTGTGGTGGGTGGTGGGTGTTTGGGTGGCAGTTAGATGAGTGTGATATGGTGGTTGGGGGAGTGGGGGTGGAGAATATAAGCCTCAGACAACTTGAATTAGAAATCTTGATATCGAAGCCCTCTTGAGAAGCGCCTAGCACCGCCTTCCTTTCTGCTACACTACAAAAATTTTGATATGCTTTGATAAGTGATTCAGAAAAAACCTGATCGTGAAAAAATTCTGTAACCTTTATAAGAAGACCACTACAAAACAAAAATTCAAAACATGAACAATAATTATAAGTAGTTAAAACAATTAAATAAATACCAAAAAAATATTTTATCTTACATCATGTAATATCATCGTTGATTAATGAGGAATAGAAGATCCTTAAATTTTAAGATGGTCCTTTTTCCCCTTCCTCCATATACTCCCCTGTTACGCCACTTTCTCCCACTTAAAACAAATTGCATGAATATTCACACTTTGTTAATTAATTAGGTGGTGCGTGCTCCGCGGCTCTCACCGAAGAACTTTCAACTTTATGCGTGTCATAAATATTTACAACTTCCTCCTGGCCATAAAAATCCTCACAAAGTACCAACTCCAACGAGGAAAATAAGACTGCGTCAACGTGAAAGAAACAGAAATCATTTTGCTTTACACCCAACATTTTTAGAAGCATTCTAAATATAATTGGAGAAATGACTCGGGTGGAGATGCAGTGGAATAAGTGGTGAGGAGGGGTCGAAACTTGTTGTTTGCCGGCCATAAATTGATCAGTTTATTAGATTCTGAGACCCGAAAATATTTAATTGATTTATGCCCAATGAGTCAGAAGTCAAGCTAAAGTCATAAACTTGATGCCTGGGAACAAAAGGATGTAATGAGTCGAACACGAAGGAGATTAGGTGAAAAGCGATCGAGGAAGGGGAAGTGACAACCAAAATTAAGTGGTTGCATTGGGATTATAAGTTGGATATTAAGCTAAGGGGTATTAACCAATTTTTACACAGCCTAGGAAATATAAACAGCAAGAAAAAATAAAACAATAATAGTAAAAGCAATAAATAAATCACAATATATACGTCTTAATTTGACTGACTGCCAATATTTGTCAAATATTTCAAAAAAATATTTTGACAATTGTGCATACGCAAGTAGCAGCATAAATCAAATTAAATACGTTTAAAATTTACCATTTAACCTGCTCTGCCAAAACAAAAGCCATTTATTCATGCATTTGTTTGCTATTCAAACACTAAACTATTCGTTCATTCACTGGCCACACCTCGGCCATAATTTGATCACTTTGTATGGATAGGAAATTAGAACAATCAACTAAGCCAAAGTCCAGACCAAAACCAGACAATGAGCAAATTTGTATTTGAATGTTTATCAATGGAACTGGAGCTCACCAGAACGAGAGCAAACTTTCAGATACATTTTATCTGCCTTTTAATATACACGTATGTATCTGCCAAATACTCGTGCATGAGGTAAGGCAACAAATTAGAAATAAACAAAATCCGTGGATGCGAAGAATTGCGAAAAAGACACAGAGCGAAAGATACACAGATCGAGATACACACTATATGGTACAGAGTAGAATGTAGATACAGATACGGATAGTTGGCGCTGCATTAACTAGTACTTACATAACTGCGGTAGGACGACATTACGTTGCTCTTGGCAAGCGGTCCTCGGGATCGTAGATCTTCTGCCCGTACCTATCAAAATTTCGGTCACAACTCGGACGTTCTGGCCCCTTCAAAAATTGTGGGTATAATTTATTTTGGGCCTGGTCGGGTAATACTATCCGGCAGACACTCGCGCGAGATCGAAACGGAGCAACTCGAACCACTGACGACAATTACGAAAACGTATCTGGCGGATGCACTCGTATCTGGCGAACGCCTCTCAATTGCAATAGATGCAAAATAAATTAGATGCACTTACTGAAATCGCGCGCGTGCGACAAATTTCTACGGATCTTCGACGACACTCTCTGTATTCCCCGATCCCCTATCTTATATTCACTTTATTTATTCCGTTTCCTTTGTTTTTTTCGCGCTCGGCGATATTCCGAGATCGGGATCGGCCGTGTGCCACTTTACATAATCCACCGGCACGCACCGGCCAGGTTGGGGATATATATATGTAAGAACACTTCGATGCCTACGGGCATACAAGCAGCTATAGCCTATAGCATATAGCGCCCCGATCTATTTGGGAATGCAGCCGGCAAATGCGACAGAATCGGACGCGAACGCGGCGCTTTATTTATGCGTTGATATTTTTCTTATTTTCCCATTTTCCATCTACGTTTCCCTCACGACGGCGGACGCATCACTTTTGCTTTTATTTCAATTTACTTTGGGAGCAGGCACAACTTAAGCTGTTATTTATAAATTTAGCAACATTCACACACTCGCTGAAAGATTGTGTCGCCTGCAAACGCGATTTTTGTTTTCAGTTCTCGATTTTTTGTTAGCCCACTGAAATATCGAATCGATTCGGGGGCCGAGAAGAAAATCGTGTGCGACTCGGCGCGTTGTCAAAGGAAAACTGTCTGGCCGCTGTGAAAATATTTTCGTGCCGAGATTTTCCCTCGCACCGAATTGCGTGAAAAGCTGAGCGGTGGAAAGTCTCCGCCTCTCTCACTCTGGGTGTGCGTGTATTTTCGGCAAGCGAGAGAATCGCTGAAGAAGCTCTCGGAGATTCTGCCGGCTCTCCTCCGGCGGCGATCGCTGCGTTTGTAAATTGCAATAGAGAAATAAATAAAAGTTCTTAGCATTCCCTAAGTAAGGGTATAGTTCTTAGAGCGGAACATTAATCTAACTGCTTTTAAAGAAGGTTATCAAATTTAACAAAATATTTTGGTTAATTCTCTCTTGAACGGACAATATGTCTCTGTTGTAAGCGGACAGCTGTAAACGTAAGATTTAAATATTTTAAAATATTATAATGCAAATTAGTTCCATTTTTAATTTTTCCCTTAGGTATATTTGTTTGTAAGTCATTCGGTTAGACTCATTAAAAATCAATAATTTAATAGTTTGTCTTAAATAGTCCTGCAACACTGATATCTTCATTTAAATGTTATTCAAAATTAATAAAGTAACTAATATAAATAGTTCAGAGAGGAAAGAATCGGCCTTACCTGTTTTTATTTTAGAAGTTCCAACATATTTTTGAAATTTAATATAAAGGCACAGCAAATTCCGTAATATTCACAAACAAAGAAAGCAATAATCATAACAAAGAGCATTTAACATTTCGTCCCATCATCGAATCATCTTTTCCCATTCCCGTGTGTATCTGTCCGCATTTACATATCTGACAGAAATCGGCCAACCGGCTATATGTGCCAGCTTCTTGATTTCAACTACCGCAATGTAAGGAAATGCGTAAAAATTCTTGTAATGCTCATAAAAATGCAACTCGAAAGTATTTTGCATCTATTTGGGCTGCTTCATTCCATCTCAGCTATTTTCGTCTATTATTAGTCGAATAATTTAATTTAAATATTTTTGGCATTGGTGACTAATCGATGAGTGGGCGCAGAGTCGGAGGGCGGGGAACATGGTGTATCCAGAAAAAGACTTAAAAAGTATGTATGATGCTATGATGCAAACGATAATTGTCACCTACAGATACAGATGCAGTCTGTCATGTTCCCATGAATGAACGACAGCGAAAGGGAGGCCAACAGTTGACGGGGGTCTACAACCTGATGAGGTGTCTCCTCGGATTATGTTTTGGCTAGGAGGAATAGTGAAAATTACAATTTGCCTCAGCTACACGTATACATTCTCTCAAACAATGTTCAATAAGATTTATAAGCCATTTTGAGATCAAATTGATGGTGAAATAAAAATGTAATGACCTGTAAAATAGACCAAAAAATTAGTCAAAAATAAATACTTTTTTTATTACAAATTTAAAATGTTGTCTACTGTTTACGACAAAGTTTTAACATATTTTATTTATCAATCGCACCAATTTTTATTTAAATGTAAAATGAGAAACTCAGTTTAGTTATAATCCAACCATTATATCTCTTAAAATATTTTTTCAGAATTTTAATGATCGATTCATTTTGTATTCATTATATTTTCCATCGCTCTGTTTGCATTCCCCCAATAGCATGGATCCCCATTACATACTTACTTACTTACCCTCTGGCCCCAGGAATTATTCGGTTCATTTGTGTATCACAGAACACCCGGGGAAAGTATCACAGATTTCATGCAGAAGACAACGTCACATATCGCATATTTGTTCTGGTTTTAAAAATAAAAATCTGTGTGCCACTTTTGCAGTTGCCACTGCTGCCGGCAGTCACCGGAAACGTGCGGCTAAAAAGATGACGTCTAAACACGAAATAAAACTGGCATTCGCTGGCTTTAGTAAAAACATTTAAACTAAATATGCGCAAAATGCCAAAAAGCATTCGGGGGAAATAGAATGCTCGCGCTGCCTGCGCCATAAATCAGACAAAGATGCTAAATTACCAGAGGGGAAAGAGGGAGGAGAAGCCAAAGGCATCGGCAGCGGCATCAATGGGCTAATAGCCCCCGGCAAAGTGGCTCGACACTTTGACGAAAGACACGCAGGGGCGGCGTCTTAACCCAATCTGACCGACAGATACAAATAGCTTTCAGCGCTGCATTAAAAAATATAAAAGATCCTCAACAGGCGTGCATTTCGCATGCTTTCCTCAAATATTTTCCCAGTGCGTGCTGCCGGCAGAGACGCCAACGCAACCCAGAAAAACTGAAAACTTAAAACTTAAAACCGAAAACCGAATACTGAATGCAAACAAATCAAGAGGAACGGCGGTGGAAAACTAGAAACGGATTTTGGGCAGGCAATAAAAAGAAATACACCGACAGCCATAAAAGTCAGACCCGGCAATCCCCGGGAGCAACGGCGAGGTGCACCACGCAGTCGGTCAATCATGCTGCCCCATGCCAACGCAACCCCCTTTCCCAGCCCCTGTGCAGAGTAAAAAAATATGAAAATAATCGGGAACAGGGAAGCAATTAAATATTATATCATAAGAAACAAATTACATCAATTAGCACTGTTCTTACTTTTAAGGCGATCTTGGAAATATAGTGTTTTCTTTACTTACTAAGTGGTAGAATAATTTTACAGTTCTTATAAATATCGGAATATATTTTCCTTTTGTTATATTTTCCATTTGTTATTCAACTTTTTTCCTAGTGCTTGCCCAGGGCTCCTATGGGATGCGATCTCTTCGCTCTGTCTTCATCCGCATCCCAGTGGCCGATCTCTGGGCCTTTCAATCATTTCGTACGATTTCAAATTGTAATTTATGAGTGTGTCTGCGGCCGTTTGGGGGCGTGCCCTAAGCGACAGATTATGCAATGAAACGATACAAACGCAAGTTAATAAAACGCATGGAGTGCGATGTTAGCAGGGGGAGGCCTCCGAAATCGAGGATCAGGAATCTGGGATAGGGGGCGGCGCTTCGAGCAGATGCGATTTGTTTGCGTGCACATAAAATTCATTAAAAGACCAGTCAATTTATTTGTGTTTAGAGACTTTTGGGGGAAAGTTCGCAAGAAGAAGCTTCGAGATGAGAGATTTTAATGCAGATTTAAACCAAAAATTTCATGAAATTTATCGCCATCATTGGATTTTGAACTAAATCTATTTTAATTTTTATTTTTAGCCTGCAGATATTTATACTATTTATTCTGATTGTTTCATGCTTTCATGTTTTTTTTACTGAAATTCGATTTAATACAAATTATCATTATCGTTCTTTTTAACACATTGCTCATTGGAATTCAGATTTAACAGTCCATAAAAGTGTACACACGCATTTTTGTTCTTTTTATATAGTAAGTATAATACATCAAACATATTTTGGCCTCTTCCTATTTTAGTTGCCATGTCACAGCTAAATACAAAAAGCTCCAATTTGCAGCTAATAGTTTTTTTTGCTTTATGTTTTTGTTCATTTTTTTTTATTTACATCTCATTTTCCGCTCGGCTGTAGATGGATGGCTATTGCCACACATTCGTCTCACATTTTCCCCATTTTCCAGGCAGCGATCTGCTTCGCTTCGGTGTGCTAATATTTAATTTAAATATTGTATTTTGCCGAGGCCTTTTGCTGTTGTTCTTAACCAACCTCACTGCGTGTTGCAATCTTCAAGCGGATTTGTTTGCTTTTTTCCGACAAATATGTGGGGATGTGTTGTTGTTTGGGCTGCTCCCACCCCAATAGACTGGCGATTTGATCGCCGTTTCAAGGTTGCCTTGCATGGAGCTGTTGTTAGAAGTGTGTGCCTGGGTCTCAAGTATTTCTTTTTGTTTCTTTCATGGTAATATTACGTATACACATTGCGTATACGCATCGGCAGCGGCGAAGGCTAATGGAATAAAAAAAAGAGAACACTTTTGTAGGGAGGATTATCAGGATATTTTTTTCTGATCCCCTAATATAATATCTTAATTAAAAAAATAACTTTATTTTTATTTTAAATTTTAAATAATTAAAAAAAAAAATTTGTTTCTATCCCCCTTTTTAAGTACGCCCTTGACACGATCTATCTTAATCGGATGCAGCCTGTTGATTTTTGAAGATATTTTTTTATGGTAGTACTTAGAGGTAGCTTATGTCAGAAGCGCTGATAGCTATCTGAAGAGGCTTTTCATGCTCCTTCTGAAGTGGTTTCTAATTCGATTTGGCAAGCACTGACAAAATCAAATGGAAATAACAAATTCAAATATTTCACCGCCAAATATTAAAAGCTCTTTGCATACACCTTTTCAAAAATAGTTTCGAAAACTTTTGGTAAGTGTTGCCAGCTAAAATATTTTTTCGATTTCTATATATAAATCCACCACAGAGACAAACGAAAAATGCGACGAAAACAAAACGACAAGGTGGAATGCAGAGAGCTCGCGTAAATGCGAAAATAAATCGAAATTAAATTGCAAAATCGGGATCACAAGGAACAACTCCTAGAGGTGAGCCCATTAAGGTTGTTTAATTAGTGATGAAAAATTAAGTTGACTTCTGCAGATCGCCGAAAATAATAACAATGGCCCTGCTGCTGGTGCATCTGCGTCGCCTCATTTTGCTGCTGACCGTCGTCTACCTGAGCGGAGCGGTATTCCGCCGCCTTCTCACCGAGCGGCACCACTCCCACATCCTGCAGGGAAATGGATACATAGCCTTTGGTCGTCTTCGAGGAGGCGGAGGATCCAAGGAGCCCTACCATTTCCAGTGGTGGGCCTACATCTACACCTGCTATGCATACGCCGTTCTGGTCAACTACGTTAGCATGCGCCGGCTGACCAATCTCATTGAGTTCTTTTTGAACTGAAGATTAAAGATGTTTGGTTGGAGAATAAAATAGTTTTAAAAAAAACGTTTATACTCTATATCTCTACTGATTTCTAATTAAACAAGTTTAAATATCCTGTCTCCCTAAACATTTTTACGATGTTTTCAAATGAATGATCAGATTTGCCCATTATCCATTCTCTATAATGTTTAGTAACTTAACCATATGACACTTATTTTAATTAAAATAATATATATATATTAAAAAAAATTTTTTTTGGCCGATAATATGTTTTTCTAAATGTTTATTAATTTATGTATTTTTTAATAAAATCTAAAAGTATCTACATTTACTATACAAAAAATACGCCATCTATAAGATGAGTAAATTCGGCACCATCTATGTGTGAAAATAGAAGCAGAGAGGTTGGTGCTACCAGACCGAACAAATTATATCTCATCTTCTCGGAAGAGAAAGAATTAAAACAACGGCGCGGTAACTGAAATTATTTAAAATCATTTTTGTAGCTTTATGGAAAGGAAGGAAACACTTTTTAACAAAAACTTACATCCAGATTTTCTAAAATAATATGCATTTTTCCAGAAACATATAAAATTGTAGTCCAAATATGCAATGGCATACCTCGATGAGCTCATAATATAATTTCCAATCGATTGACAGTCAACCCAGATAGTTTAAACTACAGAAATTATATGTATTCGCCTTGATTTGAACAAATTAGGATCATTAATCCTCCAAAGAGGATATTTTTGTGCTATATCTTAATCCCTATATTGCAAAATTTTACCCCGAATAAGTAGCTTTTACATATTAAAATTTACATCCTGAAATATACATACATATATGTATGTTCAATGATAGCTAATCTAAAAACCCAAAGACACAAATGCCCGATGACAACGCTGTTAGAAATATTTACATTTAACACGACAAATATTTAGCGCAAAACTCACACAAACATTTAATATTAATTAAAAGCGTCAAATGTAATTTTTTCACCGGGGACAATAATTAAATTTCGATTGCATTTAGCATCACGATCTGCAAATATTTTTGATGATTAATCGGTAAGCCAAAAATAAAAACAAACAGAAAGGCGAATATGAAATACACTTTAAAGTTCATGGAATTATTCATCTCAAAAAGCTTGAAAATTATTTTAAAAATTTTAGTGGTTGTACACTTATACCTATTGCCATAAAATCACCGTTTTATTGGGCTGACAAGTGGCACAGAGCGTTAATGAATTTCTGCCTTACAATATTTCTGTCAACAGCCCATTTCATTGGTAAGATCAACATGCAAGGGAAAGAGTAAATGTGTAGATACAATAATATAGCTTAGAGTATTGGTAGTAGTAGTTTTATTTTGGCCGCCTATTTATAAACAAAGATTCTATTCATAAACAGATTGCGTTCTTCCTGAAATTCTTTCGTGTTACTCAAGTAGAACGTTGTTTTTTATTTATTTGATTAATATTGAGATTCTACTAACAAGTCATTATACCTTTCGTAGGTATTTTTTGAGCACAACTCTTGGACTAGATCGGATCTAGATATTATAGAATATTTCACGCTTTCATGCACCCACCAACCCATATATCTTGTGCAGAATATATCTTAGCATGTTTGCCGTATTTTTCATCCGAATGAGTCAGAAATGTGCGCCACGTCACAGCCCCGATGTCGAAGCTATATGGCTATAAGGCCAACGGATAGTGGGTGCCATCGGGACATGCAAATCCCAGAATTGTCAACGGCACATTTCCACTGCTTCAGCTTCGTACAATGGCTATTGACATTATGAGAGCGCGTTTGTGAATCATCAGCCAGATGATTGGAGCTTGTCAACGCCAAATGGCGAGCAGGAAAATGGAAAATTCGCGAAAACTCGCAGAACCGGGAAGCAAAGTGGTAGATTTTCCAGAGAACTGCCACGCATTAGGGCTTTTGTTCGTCCACTTCGAATGCATTAGGCATCTATTTTTACCGCCCGATGGCTGGGCATTTTCGGCACCACCCACCTAGTTGGAGCCTCCGATGGCGCCCACTTGAGCTTATCTGGCAGCCACTCCACTCCTGGGAAAAAAAATGCACCGGGGGGAGTATCTTGCAGAAAGTGGCTGCTCGTCAAGTAGGCACACACTCTATAAAGCTGAAGTCGATCTATATATAACTGCATAGCACAGCAGCGGGGCCCGCGATGTGTGCGTGTGTATCTGTGATCATAACAATTTTGACCTAATTTTGTATAGCTGGCACACGAAACATGAAAGAAATAGAAGACACCCAACGGCCGCTGAGTGATTTCAGTCTTGAGGTGGAGGTAGGAAAATGGGATGGGAGTGGGAAGTGGGGGACTGGGGACTGGGATCCTGTCCCCATCACTGACCTCAGTGCAGCTGTAAAATGATGGGCAATGGGCCGGAAAACTCACACAGACACCTGGCTGGCAGGCATCAGCGGAGATTTGCCCATTCCGAACCCAAATCGCGATGAGAATGGGACTTTCCTTTTGACTAAAGGTGTCGTTGTCTGGCTTGGTTCTATTTTGGGAGGACTTATTTATCGGCGGACGGCTTGCTACATATTCGCCAGGTTATTTTTAAATTATTACACATTCCAAAATGTGGCAAACACACAAAATGTTAAATATTATTCTACGGCTGCCTGGCGCGCACTTTTATATATATACAGAGAGTGGAGAGTAGCGGCAACATTGTCTATATGCATGCATAAAATAAATAAAGTTATGGCCAGCCAGAGCTAAGTATCTGCGAGATACCCATGCGAACGGAGCCAAAGGCGGTTCTTATATATAAGGTTGGATGGTTAGCCCATCTAGACCTCTGGATGTGTGTGTGTGTGCTGGCCTCAGGTGAAATGTGTGTGGAAAATGAACACGATTATGAGCAAGCCGAAAAGAAAGGCAGAAATAACATGAAATTCGGCTGCTAAAAATAAGCGAAAAATCATTTTTAAGTATAGTGAGGCGAGTGTGTTTGTGTGTGGAGCACAGGTGGAGGAGATCGCTCGCGAACGAACCAAAAAATTGCACTCAAAAAGCTTCGGCTCCTTTGGAAAACTGAGCCAAAAGCCGCAGGTTGAAAACCACTCAAAATGTAACAGAATTATTTACAAAACACATATTTACTATGGGCACATGGAGAGACTCGTCAGTTGCCAAAATGTATATATATACAGCGAGACAGTCATCTACGTGACCATTGAACAACAATTGTTAGATGACAACGCATTGTCTGAGGTTGAGCAGACTGTTGTCCGCATGGCCAAGGATTCACTCAAATTGTATATTTTTGTTTATTTCGCACACTTTTTTCTTATTTATGCTGGCAAATAACACTTTTCGATGCCAAAAGTCAAGTATTTTTAGAAAACATTGCTGTAATCCTAATTGGCTGTTAGCGAATAATTTTAAAAGAATATCAACGAAAATTTTGACACTTTTATGATTTTTCTGCTGGCTTAAAAATTTTGTAACACCATCAGATCTGTATAGCATATATCGGTGGGCCCTATAATTGGCTGGGGATTGAATACACATTTTCATTTCTTTTAACCTTATAAAAGAAATATAAATTTAGAAAACTATTGGATCCAATTCACAGCAGTATACAGAATCAAGTTGAAATAATTATTATTATTAAATAGTTCTTAATAATAGTTTCAATAAGATTTCTCCTTAAAACCAAATAAAATGAAAAAATCTGAATAAATAATTTATTTTTGGGGAAATAGTAAGTGGTTAAGTCTTTAGTAAAGTATTGTTCGAATAAGTATAAAATATTTAAAAACCCCTAGAATGACCAAAAAAATGTATGACATCATGTCACGTTATTTAGACGTTATCATACAAGTTTTTAAGTTTACCCCCAAAAGTTCCAAAAGTAGGAGCCCTATTATCGAGGGCTACGTGCTGGAACACTGGTACTGGCAGAACCGTATAAGCGAACAAAAGATATTGCCGAGGCCCCTGAACCAACGAAATTAGCCAATAAATATAAATTATGAACTTTATGATCTGCAGAAGATGCCAAATATTTCAACATGACTTATATGTACGGGCGAGAATTGGGAAAATTTATGTGTAGATACATTCTGGCCAGACGCTAGATACACAAAATGAAACGCACAAATGACACAGGCTAATTACAGGTAAGCAAAAGAAAAGAAAAGCTGCCGTACTTCGTGTTTTTGAGTTTATTTTCGTAGGGGGCAAGCTCTTAGCCAAACTAGCGTGAAAATGCGTTCACACAAGCGGCGGCCAAAATGAAAAATCAAAGAATTTTCCACACAACTGAGCAATTAACACAACAACACGGGCCGCGTGAAAAGTCACTCGAATTCCCACTCACATATGAGGGGAAAAGGGGGGGAAAGGTATATATCTCGAGATATATCCCCACTCAGATCGGAGGAGAGCCGATGGCACACGAATCGCCCCGAAGGGAGCCGAATAAATCGTTGAAATAGACGAATCCACCAGCGACCAGCGGCCAAATCAACGAAATACTCTTTATTCGAACGACAACGGGATCTCTTGTTCAGTAGATCACCAGCCTTACTCCGACGTTTATTACGAATTTTCTCGGTGACTCGGTGACAACTACAAAACTGCGTGCGGTGCTGTAGAGATTTTCGCTTGAGAGGAAATACAAATCATAATATTAGATACGCGAACCGATCGCAAATTAATTTAGAGAACCAGAATCGAAAATCTGACCTAGCAACATGTCGTCATCGCAGGCTGTCCGCTCCTCGAAATACTCCTACCGGGCCACATCCACCGGACCCGGTGCCGCCGATGTGAACATCGAATACATCCAGGACCTGAGCTCGCTCTCCCGCTTGGAGGTAAGGATCAGGATCGGGATCGGCATTGGAATCGACTACCACCGCCCATTTCTAACCTCTCAAGACGTTGGAATTCCGACCAGGGAATACGAACGAAATGCGTGTGCGCCAAATTTCTTCAAAATCTACGAGAATTTCTCTCTCTTGTTTCGGTGTCTGTGTAGAGACTGAAAAAGAATCAGAATATAATCAAGAAAAAATA